TGACCCACACGGGGGCACCATGAGTGGGATCTACTTATGAAACATCATCCACTGAGAACCCTGTGGGCACAGTTCTACTCTGACCCACACGGGGGGCCATGAGTCAGATTCGACTGAGGGCCACTGGCTATGGTTTCTAGTCTCCCTGGGGGGTCTGGTTTCTCCCTGGGGGGTCTGGTTTCCTAGCCACGTTTCGGGACACCACAGGAAGAAATGGACCTAAAATGGACACATCCAAATAAGGATGGCAGCGGTCACTTTGTGGCCACAGAGTAGTCTTTAAGAAGAGACCCCCAGTTCTCCATCTCCTGTGGCTGCCAGGCACCCCGCCAAAGGGCAGGTGAGCAGCCAGGAAGCAGCTTAGCATGGGGTACACTCCGCTCAGCGGGCAGTGGGTGCTGGAGCTTGGCAGGATATAGAAATGCTTACCAGTGTGCAGGGTGGGGCCCTGGCTATCTGCATGCACCCTGGGGCCCAGGGTGGTGCTGCTTGGGGAGGAGCATGTCACTGAGGTGGGTTCTGCCACTGGGCCTTAGACATGACACAGGGCGCATCTCAGCTGAAAAGTCCAAGAGTAAGGGACCCCACCGGGGGGGACCTCCCACAGCAGTGCCTCATGGGGTGCACGTATGGGGAGGGGGACCCGAGAAGCAAAAGGCACAGCCTGCCAGGTGTCCCTGCTCCAAGGAGCACTGGGGGAGGGGTGCCACCCGCCTACCCGCCTGTGACACGTGGGCCAGAGCCACTCAGGCAGAGCTGGGCTAATTGGAGCAAATGAAAGGACAGGGGCCACTCAGGAAAAGTAAATAGAATTACTCACTGCCAGGCACTAGGGCCCTCCTGGGAGCCTTTGCCTCACTACCCCGCCTCCTGCAGACAGCCAGGGAAGGATGTAAGGGGGCAGAGGCGGAGCACCAGAGCTGGGGATTCAAAGCAGAAGCTGGGCCCACAGCTGGGCCCTCTTAGGACCCCGGGCAATACTGTCGGAGGCTTGAGGCCCCGACCCTGAGGTTCCCCACACCCAGGCCCTGCCAGCCTTGATGCCCAGCTACAGCACGGGCACGAGGCAGCCTCCTCCAGCTTGGCAAGGGAGGGCACCACTCTCCTTCACGCCAGCTGAACTCGGGGTTGAGGACTTTCAGGGGGAGCACACCCTCCCCAGCCCCAGCCCCCTCTGTCCTTGTTCTCCTTCACCCTGTCCCCAGCTTCCTAAGGGAACTGGAGCAGGCCGGTGGAGCCAGGGTGGAGGTGGGGGGCCTGGACTTTCCCAACCAATAGACATTGGTCCTGACTGTGGGAGCAGCCTGGCCAGTGTCGACCCACTTTCTAACTCAGCCCAGGGGCTGTGGGAGGTGGGAGGGTCTCCAGCCTTGCCCTCAGCCCCCGCCCCATCTCTGCCTCCTCCCTTGCCACTACCATCCCAAGAATGCAGGGGTGCTACCTAGGAGCCAGTGTGTGCACACAAGCTGCAAAGGGTGGGTAGCTAGGAGTGTGCACGTGACCCTGTGGAGCGTTTCCGAGGCTGCAAGTCTTTACGGGAGCAGGAAGCTCATCTTTCTCTCATGGAGCTGCTGTAGATTCTGACTGCTGCTGACCTTGCAGTTAACAGTCCAATGCGTGGCCACTACATTACCAGGGCTCCTCATGAATGTGGAGAAAGGCAAATTGCCACCTGAATGGGGGGGGGGGCGTGTCACAAGTGAGAGAGGTGGAGAGCAGTGCCCGGCAGGGGTAGGTATGTGCACCACCACAGTGAGAACGCTTGGAGACCACAAGAAACAAGGGGTCAATTCCAGGAGAGGTGATGAGTGTCCCCAGGAAGGTAGGCGCCAGGGTGGGCATGACATATAGGACCTAGGGAGAGTCTCTCAATGAGATGAAAGTAAACAAACACATGGAAGGAGATTTAGATGAGCTGGAGGAGAAATCAAGACTTACTTGGGATTGTTGTTGTTGTTGTTAAGTGCCGTCGAGTGGATTTACAGCAACCCTGTATAGGGTTTCCCAGGAGCGGTTGGTGAGCTTGAACTGCCCGATCATATGGTTCAAACCAACTTTACAGTCAAGGGCTTACCCTACCTACAGAGTGCCACACCAGGACTCCAAACCAAGCAAATGAAAAAGGAAGGCAATTAATAATGCTAAGAAAAACAAAGAATTGGGTAAGGGTTAAAAAGCAATCCTATTTGACCATGATGCTGAACTTGGAATACAAACACAGATGTCCTAAGGCAGACATTCAACATGAATGTAACCAAAGTTATCACGTTTTGGGGGGTGGGCCACCTAGGAAGGCTGGTGGACTGCAAGAGTACATTTGTGTCGTGGTGGTTGGGGACTAAGAAGGAAACCCTCATCTTCCAAGGAAAGGCCAATAGATGATGCTGAACATGGGAAACGGAGAGGTGACAACTCGTGCATGTTGGTTAGAAATAAAAACCCAAGAATAAGCCGAGGAGGTGTGGGTCGTTGCCTTTGGGGCTGGAGACAGGCTGGGGGGGCTACCATCTGACTCAGCAGGTCCACGACCTCGGCAGTCCTCAGTACCAGTCCTCCAAGCTCAGGTGCTCTCTGTTTCCTGTTTCCTCCCATTCTCTTCCTGAACTCAGCACCGCTCTCTTCATCAGTTTTTAAGCATCATCAGTGTTCCGACCTCTCCCAACCTCCATCTCTAGCTCCAGAGTCCTTCCCAGAGGTCCACACTGAGCTCACACCGTTTTGCCCTCACAGGCTCATCAACTCTCCATGAAAAGCCTCCACGTGAACCTGTTTACAGGAAATTTGGGGACAGATGAACCTCAGTTGACTCTACAAGGAGGAACCCCATCATGGACTGCCCTAGAGAGGCGGGACTGGGGTGAATGGAGACGCTGCCTTCCCATCCTGAGGATTGAGACCCTTTGGGGATGGTTGTCTCAGGGACTCAGGAGGCTGTGAATGGGAGTTGTAGGTAGACAAGAGGCCTGCAAGGCCCAGTTAAGTGCTCGGCTAGAAACCAGATGGTCCACCCAGAGGTACCTAGGAAGAAAGGTCTGGTGATCCTCTGAGAATCACACACAGGGTCCCCATCAGGGCTCCTTGATATTAAGTCATGTGCTAGCTTAAAGGAATCTAGATAAAAACAGGTGGCAGTGCGGACCAGCATGCGACACCCCCACCCCCACCCCAGTGTCTTGTCTAGTCTACGTTGTGGCGGGAAGAGATCCATCGTAAAGTCCTAGCTTCACCCACCAGGGTGTAAGGCGGGACCTGCTACCACTGCAGCCTTCTTCCTGTTGGCTCCACTTGGCTGGGAGTGTGCCCATCCCCCCACCGGACCTGCACCCCCTCCCCGTCCTCCCTGGTGAGGCCGGCTGAGGGTCCTCACCGTGTCTCCACTTCTCCTTCTCCTTAGACCACCACCTCACAAGAGCTGGTGGGAGACAGCAGTGCGCCTCCTCACTCAAGGGAGAAGAGGGTGAGTAGGGTGTGGCTCCTCACAGGCAGCCTGGTACTGGACCCCCGCTCCCCAGTCCAGCCACCAGGGGGCACCAACACCCTCATTGACCTGGAAGCAGAGACCCCTTGTGGTAACACACTTGGTCCCTCAGGGTTGGAGCCCCCATACCGAAAGCTGTGCTGGTCATGATGGGGCCAGGGCTCCACAGGTATTGAGGGGGCTGTCCACTGGCCTCTGTGTACCAGCTGACCCCTGTACTATGCTCTGTCCTCCAGACTGCCCAGCTATCGCCTGACCAGGATATCTTGCCTCAGAGCTTCATTTGGCAAAGATCCCAAACTGAGGGTTTTGGTCTCACAGAAAGCCAAACCTATTGGCAAGGAGGGGATGTCTGGTGGACCCACCTACAGCCTGCGGACAGGAGGGTGGTGAGTTACAGGTGACGGGCTCAGCAGAGCCAGATTCCAGGCGTATGACCTCCAGGGGCCGCATCTAAAGGCCTGCTGCTACCTTCCGGCCCTACAGGATGACCCCGAGGGACTTGAGGATGATGTCAAGATCCTCTTCATTGCAGGGGGACACCCTTAGTAGCAATAGTGTGCTGCCTGGGGCCCAGGCACCAGCGCCCTTTCGCAGATGCCTCTGGATGCCCTCAGTCCACACCCGGTTTCCCTGGAGCTGGGAATACTCTTGCAGGAAAGGGCACTCCTAAAATCAAGTTGTTTGGCTCCTGTCTCGGGTGCAGGTGGAGCCCAGTCTGGACTGTGGTGAGGTCGCTCAGCCCTCATAGGTCAAAGGGCCTGAGGGCTTCCTGGTGTCAGAAGAAGGGATCATCCTGGGGCTCACACTGGGCATTTCTGGGTTCCCTGTGACCCCTACTTGAGAGTGGAGGGCCTGAGTGGGTAAGGGGCCGGCGCATTTGGCAGGGAGCCCACCCACCAGGGCGAGGAGCACACAGAGCACAGGAGGCTGGTTCCAGAGTCCACCTTTATTCACAGACTCGAGGTGACACGCAGACACACTTCCGAGGGCACCCCACAGAGCTGGATGGACCAGGGTCCCTACCAGCTCAGGCCAGCCTGGTAACCCTGCCCCTAGGGACCACAGGCCTCAGGCCCCAGGAGGCCAGGCCTGGCTGCCTGGGATGCCCGAGAAGGTCAGTGCCAGCTTGACAGGGATTCGGGGCTGGGGGACAGAGCTGCCCGAGTGTCTAGGCGGGGGAAGCAGCAGAGGTGGGGTTGCCGGAGTGGGGGCTGCCCTGTCCCGTTTCTGGGACACTTAGGGAAGAGCCGGCAGGAAGAGAATGGGTCTCTAGCCAGGGGCAGGCAGAGGCTGAGGGCCCAGGCCCCCAGAAATGGGGCAGCCTGAGGCCTGAGAGGGAGGGAGGGCTGGGGGGGGGGAGGCACTGACATCCATCAGGGCCCCCTGGGGCTCACTGTGTACAGCCCCTCTGCACCCCAGAGCCGGCCTGCAGGACGGGAGGTGGCCATGGGTGCAGGTGAGCTGAGAACTGCGCTGGCACCTTAGGACTTCTTGGTGTCCTGTGTGCTCCGCCTCCGCAAGTCACTCAGATCAATGGGTTTGAAGGCTGTCGGGGAGGCGGGCGGTGAGGGCACTGGCGGGCAGGCTTCCTGCCCAGCCCTGCTTCCAAGTCCCCGGTCCCTCACTCACTCTTCAGGCTGGGGTTGGGAACCTTCTCCACGTACTCTTCCACCAGGCCCCGTTCACTGCCTGACATCTGGCTCCGTAGCTCTCGTTCCACACCCTGCCAGGCTGCGAGGGTAGTCAGGGCCCAGCCTGCTGCCTGGGGAGCCGCTGGGACCACCTCATCCCACCCTCCTGGTCTGTCTCCCCACCACCCTGGTCGGAGAAGACCCTAGCCTGTCTGTGGTACAGGCTGAGCCCAGAGTCCCATCCCTGCCGCCTCCTCCCCACACCCCAGACAGCACACCAGTTTCCCCTGCGGCCACACCAGGAGGGGCGCCCACCTTCATAGATAAAGCGCACATTCTCCTCGTGGGCTGGGGTGAAGATCTCACTGCTGTTGGTTGGAGAACGGGGACTACTGTTTCTCTTGCCGTTGTAGACGACTCTGGAGACAGGGGAGCTGGGAGGACCCTGCAACATGAGCAAGGGGGGCAGAGGTACCCACCACCCAGCCCCCCTAAAGGGCATGGACCACCCACCTGGTCATCGCTAGGTTGTCTGGTCCTGGCGCTCGGCTGCCCGGTCCCCTTGGCCCTGAAATGAAGCCTGGACTCAGGAATAGTTGAGGTGAGCGGTCACTCAAGCAGACGAGTGTCAGGGACTCGGGGGCACGGATGCACTGGCCTCCCATGTAAGCTGCAGTCAAACTCGCCACCCACTAGAGGGCTCTGCAGGGCAGGTGTCTGACCCTCTCTGACAGCTAGAGGTCCAGCAGCCCTGTGATCTCTCAGCCCACCTGGGCACTGGCAGTTTAGGGGCTCTGTACCTTCCCTAAGCTCTTCTGGAACCCTGAGGCCCTGTGGGCAGCACAGGGCACTGATGTTCTCAGAGACCACCAGGCTACCTCTCAGACAGGTGGAGGTCCACAGCTGGGGCTGCCAGCCCACAGTGCCCCTTCCTGTTCCTTCTCGGGCAGGGCCGACTCCCTGTCTGCTGTAGGCCTGGACTCCCAGAGCTGGCCTGGAGAAGGAGCCAAACCAAGGGAGGTCGAGGTAGCTGCCAGGCTAGCTGGGGGCAACCTGTTTATCCAGAAACTCAGCCCAGGGATGTCCACAGCGCTAGGGAGGTGGGCTCTAGTTTTAGGCTCAGATACCCAGTGGTCAGCTGGCCAGGCTCCCTACTGGGCTGAGGACACAAAGACACAGGGCAAAAAGCCAGCCGCATCCCAGAGGAGTGGCCCAAGGTGCTGGCAGCGGGGACACTGAGGAGACTTCTAGCCCAAGAGCACCCTTCTGTTCAGGGGACCCAGAGAACCTGGAGCGTGGCTCCCTCACCAGGGTTAAGCCTGGCAGGACAGCGTCTCCTGAGCATCTACATGGTGAACACAGCCTAGAGGCACAAACACACCTGGGACTCCTCCTGGACGAGAATCCCCTACCCTGAGGCCAGCAGCAGCCCTCTCAGGCCCGAGGTCCAGGGCCACGATGACTCCTTGAGGGACCCCACTGCAGCCCCCTAGCCTGCCTGTTCCTGTGTGCAGGTGTTCCCTCACGCCTCCCTGGACAAGACCACATTGCCCCAGCCTGCGCCGCCTCTGGTGACAAGGTGACAACAGGAAGATGTTGGAAGGGGTGGTGGGCCCACGCATCAGCACCTGGTGTCTGTGGATCCCACTGCAGTGTGCCTGTCTTTGCCCGTGTCTGTGTCCACGTCTGGGCACCCTACAGGTGCATCACATCTGTGCAGCCTACAAGTGTCCCCCATCTGTGTGCCCCATGTCTGTGCACCCACATCTTTGCATCATGTTTGCCTTGCATCTGCTCACCCCACTTCTGCACACACCCTCACTGCTGGGGGGGGCGGCCTCAGCAGGTTCTCTGTCCCCCCATCCTGGTACTCAAAAATAAAGGACATGGAAGGACTGACCTGGGGTCTCTATGCCACCCATGGGCCGTGTCCATCCTCCCTCTGAGCCCAGCCTCCTCCACCCACAGGGCCGACTGCTCCCTCACCCACAGTCCCATGCTGGGACAGCCTTGCGCACTGGCCTTCCTGACCCGCTATCCACAGATGGATACCAGTGCCACCTCTCTACACCCACTGCTTCCTCAGGTCCCTCACCAGGTGGACACTAGCCAGGTCCTGCAGCCACCAAGCTTGGTCCAACCCATATACTTGTCAGACATCATGCTGCTGTCTGAGAAAACCACAGTGCATCAGCCCTTGAGAGATTCCTGAGGACCTGCTATCAGAGTCTGGACTGAGCTCTCAAAGCCCTAGGAAGCCAGCGCTGCTCTGGAGCCAGGACATCCCTGGAGCCCCCAATACGACGGCAGTGCAACGGGGGCACTGACAGGAGATGGACAGGGTGGGGTATGGGCACAGGAGCACTGCCATGTCTGGACTGGGGGCGAGCTGTCCACACACAGGCCACGGAGTGACTTCACAAACAACTCATGTTTCCCCAACACCCCTGTTCCAGGATGAGGCGTGGGGCAGGATTGGACGGACCTCCCGGAAAGGCCACTATGCACCCACTCAGCGCAAGTTCCACTAACACTGGCTCTCAGCCCCCAAATCGGGGAGCGAGGGGACAAGGCTGCGGAGCCTTCCTGGGGGGAGGCAAGAGAGGGCATGGGTGGGGCCAGGGCCAGGGCCAGGTCTCTGACTCCCCCTCGGACACTGAGGCCAGGATGCCAGGGGACAATGATGCCCTCAGTAGTGACAATGGAGGTTCTGGCTTGGAATCCAGCAAGTTCCTGTGGAATTTCTGACTCTCGGGTTCTCAGGTATCACTCTCCCTTCACAGTCTAGGTCTTGGGGTTCCAGCAGCGCATTTTCAGTCAGTAACACTTTTGGAAAATGACCTGCTAGCCAATCGGGGATGTAGCAGCTGCTCCCAAGGCCAGCCCACTGCCCTCCCCAGACTCCCATGTCTGCCCACGCGCACCCCCGGAAAATGGGTCTCCCTTCAATCACCCCAAAACCAGGCCTGTCCTTTAGGAGACGCAGTGCCCTCCACATGTCCACCGTGGAGGAGGAGTCTGTTGACTGGCCTTTCCTTGAGTTTACCCCTCTGGGCCTGTCCTAGAGCTACTCTGTCTCCTGGTCCCTGGGGGTCCAGCTGCAGGCACGTCGTCTCCGGGGCTGGGCAGGTCTCAGGACTTTGGGGTCTGTACAATCTTGGATGTGTCTCCTTTAGACTGTGCCCACCTCCCCGCGCCCGGAGCTCCTGCCGGCACCCACGGACGGGCAGGGACTCCTGGCCATCTGCTCCGAAGAGCTCGCAGGGGAAACTCAGGAAGGGCCTGCGGAGCCACAGCCTTCCAGTCGCTCCCTGCGGAGATGGGGGGCAGGCGATGTGCCCGCTGGCCCCAGCACCCACCGCCCGGCAGCCCACCGAGGACAGCCCGTGCGTGGGGTGAGGCCCGCTGGGAGATGCAGTACCTCCGGAGCTCCGACCCCCATCTCCCAGGGGCGGGAAGGGGGCCCTCTCTCGGAAGGCACGCCCGGGCGCCAAGCTCCCCCGGGGCTCCCCCAGGCTGCATCCCGGCTGCTCGCCCACGACCCCGGCCCCGCAGGCCTGTGTGCCCCTCGCCGCCGGCCGGCCGGCTCTCCCCGACGGGGC